CCTGCGGGGGTGGGGGGCGGGGAAGACAAAAGCGGCCGGGCAGGGGTGCTGGTCACGTCACCCCATTCGTAAACTGCGCTTTGCCGTGATAGGTGGCTCCCTAACAGCGCTTGGCACCAGGAGCCGACGCAGGCTATACGGGCGCTCTTTGTCTTTGCACGCCGGTGATGCGTGGGTACTCACGTGGGCATCCGTGTGTGCGTGTGTGTAAGCTACGGGGAGCGGTGGCGCAATGGTTAGCGCACTGCGCTTCTAACACAGCGACCCGAGAGTGTCGATTCCCGCTCACAAATAAAAAAAAAACCAGTGGCGAATATCTGAACCGGTCTTGGGCCTTCCCCTAGGTCGACTCAGCCTTAAATCTGTACCTGGTGCGGTGTGTAATCATCACCGCACTGGCGTTGGCCATCGACCCCCATCCAGGGCGGTGCCGGCGGCCTTCGCGAGCTGCTCGCCAACAGCACTTGCCCCAACAGCATTTGCCCCAACAGCACTTGCCCCAACAGCCTGTGAAGGCTGTAGGGGCTTAGGGACCTTTGTCTTGTCTGTAGGTGCAAGGTAATTTGTGTGCTTGTAGCTGAATGTCCGTTCCGTTCCGGGCATCGTCCCAGCTTGCACCCCCCCCCACACTCTCCTCCCTCCCCGCTCCTGACCCCCCCCCCCCCCCCGCTATCTACATCACGCTAACGCAATTATGCATGACAGCCCCCCCCCAAACAATTTACCCCCCACTGCACCCCCCCCCCCTCGCCCTCGGCGCGCATAAATCCACGCTTTTATTTTGCTTTGCGTTGATTTAAGCGCTCCATTTTCCGGCCTAATTTCCAGCATTGGTTAACGAATGTTTGTTTAATAAAGAGGGGGGCTGAGGGCGTCCATGCCCCCGCCCCCACCGTCACCCTCCCTCGCCCCCCCTCGCCCACCCCCTCGCCCACCCCGACCCCCACCGAACACTAACCCAACATTACCACCACCACCACCACAAGAACAACAACCGCGGTCTACATCGTAACCACCGCCGTTAACAGCATCAACAACGACCAGTTTGCTGTTAGACAAGAAAACCATCATTGACAAATACCGCCATCGTCATCACTTCCTCTACACTCCTCCCACTCATCTTGAACCATCATCATCATCACTAACCATCACTCATCATCCCACAATAGCTGATATCAATCTTAATTCTCTGCAGCAGCATCATCATCTTACTCCGATCACCCTCGCCACTGCTAACCGCAACAGGGACAGCATTACCTCTGCCGGACCTAATAATGTTGGGACGCAGCCCTGCAAAGTCCCGCTCACTGATGTGCGGAAGAAGCCTCCGTCAGAGGCAGCTCTGGAGTGAGCCCTTCTAGCCTGCCGTGCCGGGATTGTGAAACCGCTGCAGCGTGCGCCTTACCAGGACGCGCATCCCACAGAGACCCGACAGAGATGTGGGATCCGGCTTCGTTGTGTTTAGTGGTTTGTTCTCCTTCCCACCGCACGTCCCATTAAGCACGGTTGGCTACGTACGGTGCGAACGAAATTCAACACACAAACACACGTACGGAGATGCTCATCTGCCAATCGACATGTGAGAGTTCACTCGCAGCGCTGGTTCAAGCAAGCTGCTGATGAGACGCTGTTTGTCGAAACCGATGCAGAGTTTGCTTGTCTTCCCCGACTCCTCCTCTAATCATCTCCCACGCTCCCTCCCTCCCGTTGAGTCACCCCAGTATCCCCGCCTCGTCTCACGCCGCGTGGCTAATGGGATGTGTAAAACACATCGTCCTTGTATATGCAGAGACAAGATCTGCGTGCAGGAGGCGAATCGTCGGCTTACTCTGAATAAAAATATCAAGAGAGAGTGTTCTCACCCTTTTTTTTGGGGGGGGGGGGTGGCGCTGCATATGGATAAGGGGGGGCTTGGGGGGGGCGGGTTGGGGGGTCTGTACCCCCCTTTCTGGGGCCGGTCGCAACGGTCTACCTTTACGTGACGCCTCTAGCGTAAGCGGCTTGTGTGCTTGTTCAGTCCAAATCGGCGGATTAAGGTGAAGGATGCAGAGGAGTGTAATTCCGCCTCTGGCTGACTGCGGAATTTAGCGCGATGGATGGAGGCTTTTGCGGTGGTGGTGGTGGTGGTGGGGGGTACGACGAGGAGGGAGGGGATAGAGAGTGATGGAGACTTGGATGAGACGGAAAGGAGCAGGAGGAGAGGAGAGGATGAGGTTGAGGAGCAGAGGAATAGGGGAGGAGGAGGAAGATAAGGGAAGAGGAGACGAAGGGGGGGGGGGAGGGGATTAGAGGAGGAAGGAGACAAGACGAGGAGAGGGGAGGAAGAGGCAGAGGAGAAGGGAAGAAAGAGGAGTAGGCGCAGAAGAGGTGATGAGGGGGACGAGGAGAAGAGGGGAGGAGGAAGAGATGGGCTGGGGGAGAGCAATATACTTATTCCTCCGGTTTTTCTGAAAATCCTCCTCCCCCCTCCCCCCTCCCTCCCCCTCTTCCTCCTCCTCCTCCTCACCACTCCGCTTCGCGAGCACTCATCATTAACACGAGCCATCGATTCATCATCGATTCACATCGATGACTTGCCACTCACCGCCGCCGCGTGCATCAAGTGGCAAGCAAACTGTTCCTCCTTGATTGCCGAAGGGTCGCGACAAAAAAAAACAACAACAACATTCAGTGGCGGTGACGTCACCACGGAGCTTGTGCCAGGCTGGGTGCACGTTGAGACTATCAAGTGAAATGTCGAAGGCTCGCCGCTGGCAGGAGGTCACGGGATAGACGCATGTGCCATGGGTTGACTTACTGAGATGACCGGAAAATGTATGTACACCGTACGAATGCTGAACGTCTTCGTCAACGTGCGTAGCCAACCGTGCTAATCGGAGGTGCGGGCGAAGGACAACAATCACTAAACACGAGAAGCAGTTCCAAAGAAATGAGTTTTTCAATCGAGAAATGCACCACCTGTGCCCCCTCCTACTGTGCCAACTCTGGCGTCGCTCCGCTCGTCGTTTTGAGCGGTCGCTTCTCCGCCCCCCGCCGCCCCCCCCCCCCTCTCGTCGTTGTTGGAGGGCGACAGCCTCCCGACCGGGCCGGCAGCGTCCTGCACGAGCATCCGATCTTGACACGGCCTCTCTTCCACGACGACCGTGGAGCACGCTGAACCGCGCTCGAACGCGTCACGGCGGATGCGCGTTCCACTGTTCCGTCAATGGAAGATGAAAGAATCGCCCAACTGCGCCCGTGGGGAAGTCCAAACCATGCCAGCAAGTCGCCGACGAACGCCCCATCCATGCGCGACCCGGCGGTGTCGCTGTAAACCGCACTGCGTCAACCCCACGTCATTGGACTGGATGAGGAATATTTTCATTCATTTACGACGATCATTAAGAGAAAAAAACCCCCGTTGCTTTTCACAATGTCATACGAAAGAAGAAGAAGAACGGGAATCGGCACAAGTCCACTCGGCTTCACACCGCTCTGTACCGCATCAGTCATTCCTGCGGTGGTGGGGGTACGGTCACCAAAACAAGAAGAAGAAGATACATTCGTGTCGCTTTGGTCACCTCTCCAGAACTCGGAAAAGTTGAACTCAATCGCCGATTCCGAAGCGCGATTTAAAAAAAACAAAACTTCCCGTGCACCTTTTGTAACCCCCGTGAGCATGCGGTGGTCTGGGCAATGTCATCCGTGGAGGTGCAATGCCACCTGAAGGGCAAGGCGAGGAATAGCAGCACCCGCCAAAGCGAACGTCATTACCCAGGCGGCGGCTGCTGCTGCTGTTGCTGCTCAACTCGGTGATGCTGTTGCTGAATTGGCAAGGGTAGAGACAGAAAGAGAGAGCTATATACGGGGAGAGATACACAGCAAGAGAGACATTGGGAGAGATACAGGGGGAAGAGAGAGGTATGTGGGGAGAGAGAAACAGGGCGAGGGACATAGATATAGACCCAGGGAGGTACACACAGGTAGAGAGAGGCGCGGGATGAGAGAATCACAGAAAGACACAGGGAGAGAGACGTGGCGAGAGATACACAGGCAGATAGAGACAGGGAGAGAGAGAGAGAAATACACGGGGAGAAAGACAGCATCACAGGCAGGGAGACACGGATAGACATGGAGAGAGAGACAGAGGGAGAGACACAACAACAACCACCGGTCACCACTCCGTGGTGGTGATGTCACCAAGGCGCTTGTGCCAGGCTAGGTGCACCTTGAGGCCATGTAAAGTGTCGAATAATCGCTGCTGGCAAGAGGTCACGCGACTGACCCAGGTGCCATGGGTCTACTGACTGAGATGACTGGCAGATGCACTAACCTATGCCCGCTACTGTGCCAACTTGCTGAGATGTAATCGCACCGGCGCTCCGCTCGTTGTGAGCGTCGCTCCTCCGTGGTTGTTGGCAGGCAGCTGCCTCTCAACTGCCCAGTAGCGTCCCGCACGAACCTCCTCCTCCACACAGAGGCGCATGGGGCACAGAGAGATAACCAATGTGCCAGCGTGATAACCACGTGCGGCGCGCAAGCCACCACGCCGCCAATCGAGTTACCTCTGTCTTGGGGGTGAATGGGTCAAGTAAATGTGAGTTTGATCAACGCGACTCTCGCCTCTCTCAGCAAGGCTCACGCTCATCACTCCTCCTCTTCAACGCATGCCGAGGACTCGGACTGGCTGTTTTGTCTCATCGGCCGAACTACCCACCCACCTACCCACTCACTCCGCACATTCACTTGCCTACCCATCCACCCGGTCGTTCACTTACCCACCCACCTACCAAGTCACCTACCCACCCACCAACTCGTCTACCCATGCACCTACTAACCTACGCACTTACTCACTCACCTACCCACTCATTCACAAAATGTATTGTTAGATCGTGGGAGATGGCAATGGCATGGGTGGTGGTGGGGGGGTGGTATGGACATGGGAGGCCCTCATCCAGCAGTGGACAGAACACGGCTAATGATGAATTGATGTCGTTGTTGGCGTTGTTGACTTTGGACAGAGCTGAGCGACGAGGTGTTGCGCCTGCTGGGGGATGGGCAGCAGCTGCAGCACAGCAACAAGGACAGGGATCGGGGGTCACGGACGGAGAGGGACTGCCCCTTCTGCGCGAAGACGTTCCGCTCCTCGCACCACCTGAAGGTTCACCTACGCACGCACACAGGTGAGCTTCAGCGATCGTCGGCCACGGCCGAGGAGCCGTGGCACGTTCTTTCACGCCCGCTTTGTCGCGGGGGATCGATCGACGGCAAGGATCCCCCTCGGCATAGCCTCACCCGACTTTTTGGGGCAAGCGCAGTTGGCGAGTTACACCGACGAAGGCCGGCACGGCACACGAGGGCGTGGGTGGCAGGCACCGCGTCCGGCCGCCTTTGTCTCCCGAGTGGCGATGTTTTAACACATCGCACCGGTTACTCATTGGAGGCTGAGTCGACCTGGGGGTGGGGGTGGTGGGACAGGACCAGTTCACAAAATCGTCACCGGTGTTGGTGGCCCTGAGCGAGATTCGAACTCGGCTTGGCCATGGGATTCGAGCACAGCACGCTAGCCGTAACCTGCGGCGGCCGCTAGAGGCGCTACGATGTCGACTCTCGACATCGTAGAGGCAGACGCGAAGACTCCGAACGCGCCCTCGTGCTCCTCCGTGAATCGCGTTCACGTCACGGGTCCCATGGCGCGCCCCCCGTTGATTCCGGCAAACGGTGGTGCTACGGTGGCGAGATGTTCACCACCTCGCAGGGCATGCAGGAAGTTATGGGTTCGATCCCGACCGGTGACGCCTGTGGTATATTTGGAGTTTGCGGTGTCTATCTCGCCCGTGGTCACGTGGATTTTGTCTCCGGGACCTCCGGTTTTTCCCCTCCACATTTAGAAACATGCGCGTGAGTATTTGGCTGCTGTGCATTTCCAGGTGATAAGCCATTTCGTTGAGCTATCATTTGTGGCCAGGTGACTTCTGACAACGAGCTACAAAGCTCATTGGGACCTTACCTGGTACAATAAAAAAATAATTGTTGTTAGTTTAGGGTAAACAGTGACCGCGGCGAGTGAATCACAGCGGCCTTCTTCCCCTCTTAACAACCCAACGCTTCCGTGACATTCGCGCGCTGTCCTTCTGCGTGTACCCCCCTCCAACCCCAACTCCCCCCCCCCGCAACAGGGGAGCGTCCGTACAAGTGCCCGCACTGCGAGTACGCGGGGACCCAGTCCTCCTCCCTCAAGTACCACCTGGGCCACTACCACCGCTCGGCGGCCCCGCAAAGCACCGCTTCGCTCAAGGCCCTGCTCGCCCTCAACCACCAGGCCCCGGTGACCGCCGCCGTCGCCTCGGCAGCCGCTTCCGCCGTCTCGCCGCGCGGAGCCGCCACCGGTTGCAGCAACTCCTGCTCCTCGTCGACGTCGACGTCACCGTACCGCGACGCGGCCGGCTTTCGAAGGAGCCTGCCGGTGCCGGCGTTCGACGGCGAAGCCAGGACGGCGGGGCAGTTCCGGCCGCTGGGCTTCCTCGAGCGCAAGTTGGTGGCGGCGGTGGTGGGCGGCAACGGCGGCGGCGGCGCTGCTCACGGCTCGGAGAATGGCGGTGCTGGCGCTGCCGCTGCCCGCGGCGCTGACGGGCTCGGCGGAGTTCTCCGTGGCGCCGCCGGCACGGCCGCCGCTGCCGGTGGCGGCGCTCGGTGTTTCCGCGCCGCCCAGGTGTTCTCGGCCGAGCAGTGGAACAGCGAGCGCCGGTGCCAGCGGCGCGCCGACGGCCTTCAGCACGAGCCGCTCGACCTCTCGGTGAAACCACGCTGGGTCGCCAGGCCGCCGCGGCATCCGATCACCGAGCACCCGCACGCACCGCCGCCGGCGCCGCCGCCGCCACCGCCGCCGGCAAGGAGCTACCGCGCTATCGCCACCGGTGCCAGCACGGCGCTGCCGTCGTCGAGAGCCGACGAGTCGAGGCCCCGCGTCTCTTCCGCCGCCGCCAATGTCACGTCCGGGCGGACAGGCCCCCCACTGCTGAGCTCCGGCGAAAGCTCCGGCACACGCGGGCCACTCGCCGCGACGCCGGCTGGCCGCACGGGCCCGCCCCCGCTCATGAAGGCCCGGTACTGCCCCCCGCTGGCCCGGCACGACTGCGAAATGGGCGGTGGCCGCGATGCTTACGGTAGCGGTGGTGGTGTTTACGGGGCCGGTGGTGGCGGCGGCGGTGGTGGCGGTGGCGCTGGCGGTAACAGGAGTGTCGTTGGCAAACCAAACGGCGCGCTGTGTGGCAGGCAGGGCGATGCGGCCGCCCTTGCGGAATTCTCCCGGCAGCTGGGCCTCCTCTCCGCCCCGGCGCGCACGGCGCAGAAGCCGTCGTCGCTGTCCTCCCCTTCCTCCTCTTCCTCCTCCTCTTCTTCCTCATCCACGTCATCGCCGCCATCGATCACGGGACGCAAGGACGAGGAGGAGGAGTCGGCGGCTGCGACGTCGAAGGCGCCAGCGACGGAGGCTTCATCAGCAGTGCCGTCGTTGGAGACTTCGGCCTGTGCCCGAGCCGTGATGGGGGAGCAGCAGCAGCACGAGGAGCAGCAGCAGCAGCAGCAGCAGAGTGAGGGGAGAGTGAGTGGCCTGGACAAGACGTGGGAGTGGCTGCGCTCGAGTCTGCCCAGCCTGGCCGGCCTGGAGATCCCCACACGCTGGGTGCTGGAGGCGGCGGCGGTGGCAGCAGCCGGAGGAGGAGGCGGAGGGGGTGAAGGAGGGGGAGCAGCTGCGAGCGAACAGGACGGAGTGGACGGATCTCTGTACTTGTCCAGCGAAGGTAGGCCTGGTGCTTGATCACGGCGGCGGTGGTGGTGGCATTCGCTGCTCGTCGTTGCAGAGGTCCGCGGTTTGGGCCCGGCAGGCCGCCCTGGTTAATAGGCAGGATCCTAGCGCCATCCATCATCAGTGACAGATCCAGGCCCTCACCCGGTCCAGACTATCACCTGGTTCAGACTCTCACCTGGTCCAGACACTCACCTGGTCCAGACTCTCACCTGGTCCAGACACTCACCTGGTCCAGACACTCACCTGGTCCAGACTATTACCTGGTCCAGACTATCACCTGGTTCAGACACTCACCTGGTTCAGGCTCTCACCTGGTCCAGACACTCACCTGGTTCAGGCTCTCACCTGGTCTAGACTCTCACCTGGTTCAAGCCCTCACCTGGTCTAGACTCTCACCTGGTTCAGACTCTCACCTGGTTCAGTCTCTCAACTGGTCCAGACTCTCACGTGGTTCTAACTATCACCTAGTTCAGACTTTCACCTGGTCCAGACTCTCACCTGGTCCAGACTCTCACCTGGTCCAGACACTCACCTGGTTCAGACTCTCACCTGGTTCAGTCTCTCACCTGGTCCAGGCCCTCACCTGGTCCAGATTCTCACCTGGTTCAGACTCTCACCTGGTTCAGACGCTCACCTGGTTCAGTCTCTCACCTGGTTCAGACACTCACCTGGTTCAGACTCTCACCTGGTCAAGACACTCACCTGGTCCAGACACTCACCTGGTTCAGACTATCACCTGGTCCAGACTATCACCTGGTTCAGACACTCACCTGGTTCAGGCTCTCACCTGGTCCAGGCTCTCACCTGGATCAGCCTCTCACCTGGTCCAGGCTCTCACCTGGTTCAGACTCTCACCTGGTCCAGACGCTCACGTGGTTCAGGCTGTCACCTGCTTCAGTCTCTCACCTGGTCCAGACTATCACCTGGTCCAGACACTCACCTGGTTCAGGCTCTCACCTGGTCTAGACTCTCACCTGGTTCAAGCCCTCACCTGGTCTAGACTCTCACCTGGTTCAGACCCTCACCTAATCCAGACACTCACCTGGTCCAGACTCTCACCTGGTCCAGACTCTCACCTGGTCCAGACACTCACCTGGTCCAGACTATCACCTGGTCCAGACTATCACCTGGTTCAGACACTCACCTGGTTCAGGCTCTCACCTGGTCCAGGCTCTCACCTGGATCAGCCTCTCACCTGGTCCAGGCTCTCACCTGGTTCAGACTCTCACCTGGTCCAGACTCTCACGTGGTTCAGGCTGTCACCTGCTTCAGTCTCTCACCTGGTCCAGACTATCACCTGGTCCAGACACTCACCTGGTTCAGGCTCTCACCTGGTCTAGACTCTCACCTGGTTCAAGCCCTCACCTGGTCTAGACTCTCACCTGGTTCTAACTCTCACCTAGTTCAGACTCTCACCTGGTCCAGACTCTCACCTGGTCCAGACTCTCACCTGGTTCAGATTCTCACCTGGTTCAGTCTCTCACCTGGTCCAGTCTCTCACCTGGTCCAGGCTCTCACCTGGTCCAGGCTCTCACCTGGTTCAGTCTCTCACCTGGTCCAGGGTCGCACCTGGTTCAGGCTGTCACCTGGTTCAGACCCTCACGTGGTTCAGTCTCTCACCTGGTTCAGACCCTCACCTGGTTCAGACGCTCACCTGGTTCAGACTCCCACCTGGTCCAGACACTCACCTGGTTCAGACTCTCACCTGGTTCAGACTCTCACCTGGTTCAGACTCTCACCTGGTCCAGACACTCACCTGGTTCAGACTCTCACCTGGTTCAGACACTCACCTGGTCCAGGCTCTCACCTGGTCCAGGCTCTCACCTGGTTCAGACGCTCACCTGGTTCAGTCTCTCACCTGGTCCAGACACTCACCTGGTCCAGACTATCACCTGGTCCAGACTCTCACCTGGTCCAGACTCTCACCTGGTCCAGACACTCACCTGGTCCAGACTATCACCTGGTTCAGACACTCACCTGGTTCAGACTCTCACCTGGTCCAGGCTCTCACCTGGTTCAGTCTCTCACCTGGTCCAGGCTCTCACCTGGTTCAGACTCTCACCTGGTCCAGACTCTCACGTGGTTCAGGCTGTCACCTGGTTCAGGCTCTCACCTGGTCCAGACTATCACCTGGTCCAGACACTCACGTGGTTCAGGCTCTAACCCGGTCTAGACTCTGACCTGGTTCAGGCTCTCACCTGGTCTAGACTCTCACCTGGTTCAGACTCTCACCTGGTTCAGTCTCTCAACTGTTCCAGACTCTCACCTGGTTCTAACTCTCACCTGGTTCAGACTCTCACCTGGTCCAGACTCTCACCTGGTCCAGACTCTCACCTGGTTCAGTCTCTCAGCTGGTCCAGGCTCTCACCTGGTCCATGCTCTCACCTGGTCCAGTCTCTCACCTGGTCCAGGGTTGCACCTGGTTCAGGATGTCACCTGGTTCAGACCCTCACCTGGTTGAGTCGCTCACCTGGTTCAGACCCTCACCTGGTTCAGATGCTCACCTGGTTCAGACTCCCACCTGGTCCAGACACTCACCTGGTTCAGACTCTCACCTGGTTCAGACTCTCACCTGGTTCAGACTCTCACCTGGTTCAGACACTCACCTGGTTCAGACTCTCACCTGGTCCAGACTCTCACCTGGTTCAGGCTGTCACCTGGTTCAGACCCTCACCTGGTTGAGTCGCTCACCTGGTTCAGACCCTCACCTGGTTCAGGCTGTCACCTGGTTCAGACCCTCACCTGGTTGAGTCGCTCACCTGGTTCAGACCCTCACCTGGTTCAGATGCTCACCTGGTTCAGACTCCCACCTGGTCCAGACACTCACCTGGTTCAGACTCTCACATGGTCCAGACTCTCACCTGGTTCAGACTCTCACCTGGTTCAGACACTCACCTGGTCCAGACACTCACCTGGTCCAGGCCCTCACCTGGTCCAGGCGCTCACCTGGTTCAGATGCTCACCTGGTTCAGACCCTCACCTGGTTCAGACTCTCACCTGGTTCAGGCACTCACCTGGTTCAGTCTCTCAACTGTTCCAGACGCTCACCTGGTTCTAACCCTCACCTGGTTCAGACTCTCACCAGGTCCAGACTCTCACCTGGTCCAGACTCTCACCTGGTTCAGACTCTCACCTGGTTCAGTCTCTCACCTGGTCCAGGCTCTCACCTGGTCCATGCTCTCACCTGGTTCAGTCTCTCACCTGGTCCAGGGTCGCACCTGGTTCAGGCTGTCACCTGGTTCAGACCCTCACCTGGTTCAGTCGCTCACCTGGTTCAGACCCTCACCTGATTCAGATGCTCACCTGGTTCAGACTCCCACCTGGTCCAGACACTCACCTGGTTCAGACTCTCACCTGGTTCAGACGCTCACCTGGTTCAGACTCTCACCTGGTCCAGACACTCACCTGGTTCAGACTCTCACCTGGTTCAGACTCTCACCTGGTTCAGACACTCCACTGGTCCAGACACTCACCTGGTCCAGGCCCTCACCTGGTCCAGGCGCTCACCTGGTTCAGATGCTCACCTGGTTCAGACTCTCACCTGGTTCAGACTCTCACCTGGTTCAGGCTCTCACCCGGTCCAGACTATCACCTGGTTCAGACTCTCACCTCGTCCAGACACTCACCTGGTCCAGACTATCACCTGGTCCAGACTCTCACCTGGTCCAGACTCTCACCTGGTCCAGACACTCACCTGGTCCAGACTATCACCTGGTTCAGACACTCACCTGGTTCAGACTCTCACGTGGTTCAAGCTGTCACCTGGTTCAGTCTCTCACCTGATCCAGACTATCACCTGGTCCAGACACTCACCTGGTTCAGGCTCTCACCTGGTCTAGACTCTCACCTGGTTCAGGTTCTCACCTGGTCTAGACCCTCACCTGGTTCAGACTCTCACCTGGTTCAGTCTCTCAACTGGTCCAGACTCTCACCTGGTTCTAACTCTCACCTGGTTCAGACTCTCACCTGGTCCAGACTCTCACCTGGTCCAGACTCTCATCTGGTTCAGACTCTCACCTGGTTCAGTCTCTCACCTGGTCCAGGGTCGCACCTGGTTCAGGCCGTCACCTGGTTCAGACCCTCACCTGGTTCAGTCTCTCACCTGGTTCAGACCCTCACCTGGTTCAGACGCTCACCTGGTTCAGACTCCCACCTGGTCCAGACACTCACCTGGTTCAGACTCTCACCTGGTTCAGACTCTCACCTGGTCCAGACACTCACCTGGTTCAGACTCTCACCTGGTTCAGACACTCACCTAGTCCAGACACTCACCTGGTCCAGGCGATCACCTGGTCCAGGCTCTCACCTGGTTCAGATGCTCACCTGGTTCAGACTCTCACCTGGTTCAGACTCTCACCTGGTTCAGGCTCTCACCTGGTCCAAACTCTCACCTGGTTCAGTCTCTCACCTGGTTCAGACTCTCACCTGGTTCAGTCTCTCACCTGGTTCAGACGCTCACCTGGTTCAGACTCTCACCTGGTTCAGACTCTCACCCAGTCCAGACTCTCACCCGGTCCAGACTCTCACCTGGTTCAGTCTCTTACCTGGTTCAGTCTCTCACTTGGTTCAGACCCTCACCTGGTCCAGACACTCACCTGGTTCAGTCCCTCACCTGGTTCAGTCTCTCACCTGGTTCAGACGCTCACCTGGTTCAGACTCTCACCCGGTCCAGACTCTCACCCGGTCCAGACTCTCACCTGGTTCAGTCTCTCACCTGGTCCAGATTCTCACCTGGTTCAGACTCTCACCTGGTTCAGATGCTCACGTGGTTCAGTCTCTCACCTGGTTCAGACACTCACCTGGTTCAGACTCTCACCTGGTCCAGACACTCACCTGGTTCAGACTCTCACCTGGTTCAGACTCTCATCTGGTTCAGACTCTCACCCGGTCCAGACACTCACCTGGTCCAGACACTCACCTGGTTCAGGCACTCACCTGGTTCAGACTCTCACCTAGTCCAGACACTCACCTGGTTCAGACTCTCACCTGGTT